TGCCTTGCACTTTGTTGCTCCACATCAAAAGGCACTGCCTCATTGTGCTATGTTCACTCTGTTTACAGAGTAGAATTGATGTACTCCACTGTGCAAAGTTTACATGCCGCAAAGCTGCATGACAGTTGCTAAAGCATTTCGTCTCTCACTTGCCAAACAACAAATGCCAGAATGCCAAGTTTCAAACAATAACAACGCTTTTATCCAACAGGAGAAAAAGACTTTGGGTAGAAGTTGACTGTGGCCTAGCCTTTGCTGTTGGAGAAATTTACTGCTCAGTTTCTGGAGATGTAAAATGCAACAGCTGTGTGGATGGGCTGAAAGCTTTGCCTGTCTGTTATCAGAGCAGAAAGGTGGACAGTTGGAAGCATCACTGATGACAGTTGTCTCATGTTGCCACCAGAGGATAGGGATTTCGAACCACCTTCCGCTCCAGCTCAGCAACATTGTTCCATCATTTTGTGTGTAGCTTTTGGAAAGTAGGGTATAAAAGTGATATAAAAGTAAAATTCAGAAAGCTGGATTTGTTTAGTATCAGGAAGAGTGGCGTGGAACTCTATTGTCTGGAGTCATGCCTAACCAGCTTCAGGACGTCTCTTTTTTTGCAGTTCCTGAAGACCTTGTGATGGGTCCAACCATTTCACCTGCTTCATCGATTGCCTTCCCTTCACCATATGGTCTGCAATGGGGGATGTATACTGATAGTGCACAATTTAGCACCATTTGCAACTTCTTGGATTCTGATGCAGCCTCCTTCATCCAGCAAGAGCTGGATAACATACAGGCAGGGGATGACATAGCAAGAAATATCCATGTCATGTAAGTGCCAGGCATTGACATTGTCCAACAAAGGAGAATCCAACCATTATCTCTTGATTTTCAGTGACGTTTCCATTACTGAAATCCCCAGCTATTAACATCATGGGAGCTGCCATTGACGAAAAACCAAACTAGACCAGCTGTATACACGCTGTGGCCAGAAGAGCAGGCTGGAGACCAAGAATTCTGCAGCAAAAAAAAAACTCATTTCTTGTCCTTCATCCATGAAGCACATATCAGGAATGATTGGATGCTCCAGTGCCACCAGCAAGGGCAACAGATATATTGGAGCACCACCACATGCATGCTCCCTTCTGAACCACGCCACCTTGACTTGGAGCTATGTCACTGTTCATTCATTGTTGATAAAACTATTGGGATCACACTTTGAAGCAAGCAGTATAAAAGCAGAGGCAAATATTATCACGTATAACTGGCTAAGTCACTGATAGAACACTGTGACCAGTTTGAGTCCCAACCTTAGAAAGCCTCAATTTGGACTAATAAACGTGCACCATACATGTTTTAATTATGATACAAGTCCAGAGAAATTGTGGCTATTTTCAGTAAACCACATAAAGGTTATCAGAAGATCTATTAGTTATTAAAGATTATTGTATCTTTTAACTGGGACACTTTAAGGTTAACTCCTTCAGTGATTTAATTGCCTACCCCTTAATTTTTTTTACTTCAAGTGCTTTTTTGAAGACTCTCATCAAGAATGTGTGCTGACCAGCTTTGATTGGTATCCAGTACCCTGACCAGTAAACTTTACAATGCTTTTGGATTAATTAGATTCTTGGATTTGTTCTGAGTCATATTCCTGAATAGATATCTTCAACCATTCTCGTGTGGTATACGTGTACAGAAACCTGTTCCTTTAGAGAAAAAACATATGAGAACAATTTGCCTGGCTACTGTCACATCACTTCTGGTGTCTTGAACAAAATAGGGAACGGATAACCTGTTTTCATACTGTAGGAAATCAATGACACATGCTGAAGAAAATATGCTATCATTTCAGAATTGTTTTCTTCTATCAAATGGTTATCTATGTGTACAGGATGTGTATTGTGTGTGAAGCATTTTAGCATCCTGACTGGTGGCACAAGGAACTGAGTTTCTGTGCTGTTACTATCTTTATTAAAATTAGCAATGTGACAAAGACATCTCTCAGTTGTGTACATTTTCTAGTGTTAGTGTTGTTTTCTGTCCTCAAGTTAATAATACGGTATTTGTAAATGGGACTTTCGCTGATGTTCCTTTTTATTTCGAAGGCATTTTGATCAAATTGAAATGCTGAGTCTGTGATTTACCTCTTCTGAAATTTAGGGTCTTCACCTATGGAATTGACTGTCACCAAATGCAACTGGAATTTGATCACTCTCTGATAAAGCGGGAAATGATGTGAGGCAAGGGGCAGCATGGTAGCTCAGTGGTTAACACTGCTGGCTCACAGCGTCAGGGACCTGGGTTCGATTCTACCCTTGGGCCGCTGACTGTGTGGAGTTTGCACATTCTCCCCGTGTCTGTGTGGGATTCCTCCTGGTACTCCAGTTTCCTCCCACAGTCCAAAGATGTGCAGGCTAGGGCATTTTATGCAAGAAGGATGCAGCAGGAAAATTCAAGCACAAAGAACTAACGTCTTGTTTAGTGAACGATACTCGTTTATGTTTGCTTAAATATATATAAACATATATTATGCTAAATTGCCCATGGTGTTCAGAGATGTGTAGGCTAGGTGGATTATAGAGGGATGAGTCTGGGTGGGATGCTCTGAGGGTTGGTGTGGACTTGTTGGGCCGAAGGACCTATTTCCACACTGTAAGGATTCTATGTCTAATTGCAAAACTGAAAGGGGTGTAAAGTGCTGCAAGGAAAATTTTGTCTAGAATGAGCTGTAATACCTTTCTGTTCTGACTTTTCTATGTCTCAGCATCACACGTTTTAGGAGTACGTAGTGGCTCACAACATAATGTCCATTAGGTACAAGTATTTGACATCTTTTCATGCCTGAAAATGATTTGCACCTCTCAGAGGTGTGGCTGAGATCCAAGAGTTTGCTTTATAATCTATCAACATAAATGAGTATCGCTCACTAGCAAGACGTTAGTTCTTTGTGCTTGAATTTTCCTGCTGCCTCCTTATTACATAAAATGCCCTTCTGAATGATGATCAGTTAGAAGTAAAAATGCTGGCTGAACCAGAGATCTTGCATCCCATAAACAAATTAAAAGACAAATTGAACAGAGTTATAACTTAGTTTTTAAATAGCTAACATAGCTAATAGCCCAAAAGGAGGCCATCCTTATTGGAGCTGTCTGACAGAGCAGTCTACCTCATCCAATTCCCTTGTCCTTTCCTTCTAAAGTATAACTGTTTTCACACTCTTCCATGTGCTTGTTAAATGTTGTTATGGATTCTGCTTCCGCTGTAAATGCAAAGCGCTCCATGTATTTTATTTGAAACATAAACTGGAATATAAGAGTTTGGACTGCTATTTTGCAGAGAATAAATTTAATTTTTTAATGACTCCAAGCAAAAGTGAAATTGTATGGTGTTCACTCATAGGTTAAAAAAGAGCATGTAACTGTTGGAGAAGCTTGATTTGATATTTTTGAGAGACTAGCTGACATCAGGTACCTATGGGTTTGAGAGAAAAAAAAACTGTACTTCAGTTTTTGAGTTGGTTTTGAGTAACAGTATTCTTAAAGAACGGTCAAGAGTGCAGTAGACTTCCAAAGCCTGCAAGCAAACCAGATCTTACTCCCTGTTCCTCTGAGAATGGAAGAAATCAGCACTAAAAGACTTTGAGTTAGAAGTTCTTCTTTTCAAGCAAAAAGTCCAGATCCCACTGACCAGCCGACAAATTAAGGGTCATTGCAGTTGGTGAACGCACTATTGCCAGCAAAATGTGTAAAAGTCCCCTCATTCCACCCTCGTGTTTGAACTCTTGATTCACAACATTGATTCTTTTGGCAATACACCCCTGAAATTTCGGCAAAACTATTTGTCTTGTGTGTTGTATCTGGAAGTAAATGTGTTCTGGTTTGCATTTTAAAGACATATAATTACAGTTTACACATTAGTACTTAATAATCTATTTTGCTACATGGAAAAGACAAGCTTGTGATGATTAATGAAACTAGGTGCGGGTTTGTTTATATCTTAGTGGTTACAGTCAGGTAGTTTTGCTATTTTAATCTTTAAATTGGTTATATTTATATTTGTAACAACCCATATGGAATAATGAGAGTTGATTTGCAATGTGTTTTTACCATCAGGGTCAAAACTTTTGGTATGACAGTCCACTTGCAAATATCTCCAGTCAAGTGCTGCTCCCATCTCTGTCTTTGTCCTTGTTGGTGAAATCTTAAATTGATGCTTTATAATTATTGATTCACCAACTGTTGGAAATAGTTTTTCTCCTATTTAACATATCAATACCTCTCAATCTTTAATAACCAGTAGATCTTCTGATAATCTTTTTTGGAGTTGTATCATAATTAAAAGATGTATGGTGCATGTCTGTTGGTCCAGATTGAGGCTTTCTGAGGTTGGGACTCAAACTGGTCACTGTGTTTTATCAGTGACTTAGCCAGTGATGTGTGATAACATTTGCCTGTGCTTTTATACTGCTTGCTTCAAAGTGTGATCCCAATAGGGTATTCTTTTATAGTTTTATCAACTAATTCTGTCACTTTTCAAGTCTTTTATGTCTTTGGCCTTCCTGCTTTTTCAAATTTTGCTGCATTGTGGACATTCTGTCCATTCATGCCAAAATATTCCCTTCAGCACTAAACTTCATTCAATTCCTATCTGTCAGTTTGCTGAGTGTTATCTCTCTTAATTTCTGTCATCTGAAATATTCCCTGTATCTTGGTCAAGATCGTTTTGGATTGGTAATCTGGTGTATCTTTTGGAGCATTCCATTCCAGGAAAGAGGAACAACATAGTTTGATGAAGTTGGGCTAGAGGGAAAAGACAACCAGTGCAGATTCAACAGGCCAAACATTCACCTCTGGTTCAATTATTTAGTGTGCTTCTTGGATTATGGATATTTGATGCTGAGAAACTTTGGTGCTATGTGCCACTTAAATGTGGAGTATTTCCTAATCCTTTGCACCTGCCTGATATATGCTATCTATTGTATTTATTTCTTATTTATTTTCCTATTTCAGTTGGCAACGTCCAGAATGGCGATGGGCAATTGAACGGGCTGCTATTGTGAGTCGTTGGAACTGGCTGCAGGCTCACGTATCCGATTTAGAGTATCGCATCCGCCAACAGACAGACATTTATCGACAAATCCGTGCCAATAAGGTCAGTACACAGCAAAGAACTAATTGTTGTGTGTATAAGGAGTTTTTCAAATTCCCTAACTTTCTGAGATGCTCTGCAAATGTGTACAGTTCCGAGTGTAGAACCTTTCAGATTTATTAAAATTGATCAATATGTTTCCAGACTAACAAGGAAAAAGGCATAGTAATACTTGAGAAATAGTAATTATTATGTGCTCAATTCTCAAGTAATTATGAAAAACCACCAACATTTTTGTGTACTTTAACTGGATCAGACTAATTTCATTGAACTATCTGACCCAGGTGAACTAGAGTCCAAGATTGGTATGCAAAATGGTGAAAGCTTTCAAAATTGTGGCACAGGGGATAAAATTAGCATGTTACTATACTAATTTTGGTTTCCCTAATAACTAAAGAGATAGAGATTAAAATGAAGCAGACAAAGTTTGTATGATGAATGACAGGTCTCAATACCGTTAAGAATCAATTTAGAATCCTGAAAGAAAATCAAAAATGTTTGTGGTTGAGCAATCTAAGTTTGAGAATAGAACATAAATGAGAACCTGGAAGTATTTATTTATGAATATGCAAAAACTGAAAGATGAACCAAAAAAAGTGGTAAAAACAGTTATGGACTGAAAGGAAAAATTGAAGCAGAGATAATGGATGAACTAAAGAATTAATATTTTGTCTGTCTTCATTTAAGATAAGGCAGTTGTGTCATAGTAAAAGAGCTGGTGGTATTGGAGAGACAATGATTTTTTCGATACTTGAATGCTTGGCAGTCTTCCAAGCTGAAAGGCCACAAAGTGCATCATAGTTTGTGTAATGATTGGAACCAGGCAGATCTCATTGATCTTTGATTCAGATTGTTAACCTGGGCCAATCAGGGAGCCCTTTGTGATCGATATAAACTGGAGATTCAGAATCTCCTCACTTCTGGGACTGACTCTGAGCTGACTGGCCATAGCCAATGTACTGTGCGTGTGTAAATAAAAGGTGACTTGGTAATGGGATACTGGCCTCTGCAGTTATTTCAGTGGCAACCAGCAGGAAATTGGAGTATTTTCTAAAATTGAATGATATTTGGCACACAAGGACAGCTCCATACCATTCATTGACCAGTTATCTGGTGGAAAGAGCAGCCTAAGCATTGAAGGCAAGCTTAAAGAAGCAGCCAGCAGTGTCACTCGATACCAAACTGTCTGGGTTCCTGTTCAATGATAAGACCACCCCTCAAGCAACTACAGGGATAGCTCCAGCAGAGTTGCTGATGGAAGACTGTACCAGGTTAAATCTGATCCTCGGACTTAGATGGAAGGGGCTGTTGGGTTGGGGAGGGTTGGTGGTAAGATGGCAGCAAGAACACCAGTGCCGGCCAAGTGCTTCCTTCAAGTGAGAGAGAGAGATTATTTCAGAGGATGAAGTTTGATGCCGGAGCCACAGAAATGCCCCTATATGAGTGCTAGGTGAGGTTGACACGAGGCCAGGTTCTGTGACTTACAAAGTTCAGATAGTTGAGGCGGTCCTGAATGACCATTTAAAAGCTGCTACCTCAGAAGCCAGGTAGGAACAAAACATACCTAGCTCCTCAGAACAGCCAGAAGATCAGTCAGAAACCGTGGGTTCTCCCCCTCCATCTAGTGTCGAAGAAACCTCAGAGCCTGAGATGGGTGCAGCTAAATACCGTTAACCACCGGAAGAGACGGGTTACGGTCCAGTATGCGCCGCCCTGCGTCAGAGTCTGAGTCAGAGTCTGAATCAGAGGAACTGGGCCTGGGGCGAAAACGTTGCAGGATAAGCTACAACCGAAAGACCAGTCCTACAAGCCTGGACTTGGGGGTAGGGGTTGTGGGGGTGGTGTTGGAGGGATGCAGTGATTGGAACCAGATAGATCTCTTTGACTGTGAGACCCTTGATTGAATACGTCATGAGTTGCTGAGGGAAGTGAGTGTGAAATGTCCAAGGCTCTGGATGTGAACTTTAAATTATCGCTCGGGTATGACGTGCAAAAGGACTGCAGGATTGCAAATGTTGGCTTTCATTCTTCAGGTTAATCCCTGTTTCAGCTTAACATCGAAGAAATTATGAAAACAGTTGTCTGGACAAAGACCCATTTTATACCAAATGAGAGGAGATGACAGATTGGTTGACCAGTGAACTTTGAGTAGAGGTGTTGCCATGGGTAATGTGCCAGTTAATGATGATTGGCAGTTAAATGTCAGGTTTTATTTAAATTTCAAATCATGCAAGTTGACTCTGATCAGTGCATTGCCGTGATAAAGGAACTAGCAAATGACAGCCATCTATTTTCTTGAACTGCAAGAGATATGTATGTGTATGTATTCTTTCTGCCTGCAAAGAACAGGAATCTATACATTAATCCATGTAGCTTCCAGTGAATAAAGGTGCATTACATTGCAAGCCCAACTGACAACCCTATGTTAGTTGTTGGCAAAATTCGTAGCGCACTCAAGATTATCCTGTAACCTTTTGTCCAATTGCAGAATCATATCCAGTGTTGAACACCGTTTTGAGTTTTAGAAGTGCAGACTGCTTAGGTATAGGGCTGAAAGAATATGCTGTTTGATCTTATCCACTCATCTTTGGAACGTAGGCCTATATTCTTAACATCACACTGACACTGAAACTGTACACCATATTACTGGGTCTAGGCCCGAAACGTCAGCCTCTCTGCTCCTATGATGCTGCTTGGCCTGCTGTGTTCATCCAGCCCTGCACCTTGTTGTCTCACCATATTACTTAGTTGTGTGTTAAACAGAGTGTCTGTTTTTTTTTGGGTTTGATGGCAGCAGCCTGTTAACAGCAAGCACCACTCATGTTGCTACTCTGATCAGATTGTTTCTTGTTGTATGTTGCACAAATTCATGAATAGCCATCACCATTGGTCCTGAAGGGTACTGATCCAACTCTGATTAATCTGGCAGGAGAAAAGTAACTCAAAAGCTTGAGTAACAGTGAAGTGAGCTGTTCTATATTGCTACAGTGCAGGAGTAGCCGTCCTGTATTGCTGCATTCTCCATGGCATTCAGTATCAATCAGTACACTGAATACAAATGTTTATTTTCCACCTTATTACTATTCTTGCAAATGGTCCTTAAGAGTGCAAGATAAAAACCCTAAGAAAAGATAAAACTGTCTTTCTCAGCAAAACCCAGCCCTGTGTTACAAAATGAAAATTTGAAAATGTTAGCAGTAACTAACGTTGCAACGTCCTCCAGGAGCACTTAGACCAAATGCTGTTCCAAGAAGACCACCATCATCCCAGTACCTAAGAAAGCACATGCATCGTGCCTTAATGACTTACCGTCCTGTGCCTCTGACCTTCATAATCATGAAGTGGTTCGAGAGACTGGTCATGGCCCACATGAACTCTAGTCTCCCAGCCTGCCTTGATCCCCTGCAATTTGCCTACTGACGTAACAGGTCCACCAGCAGACGCCATTTCCCTAGCCCTGCACTCATCCCTAGAACATCTAGATAACAACAATACCTATGTCAGACTTCTGCTCATTGACTACAGCTTCATTTTCAACACCATTAACCCCTCCAGACCCATGTCAAAAGTCTGAGGCCTAAGTCTCGGCTGTGCCCTCTGCAACTGGATCCTCAGCTTCCTGTGACTCAGACTGCAATCAGTGAAAATAGACAACTGCACCTCCTCCACAATAACGCTCCACACTGGAATCCCCTAGTGATGCATTCTCAGCCCCCTGTTGTACTCTCTGTACACCCACGAATGTGTTGCCAAATTCCGAATGAACAGTATCTACAAGTTTGCTGGTGTCACCACTGTGGTAGGGAGGATAATAAACAACGGTGAATCAGAATACAGAAAGGAGAAGAAGGCTTGGTGACGTGGTGCAATGATAACAACCTTTCTTTCATTGTCGGCGAAAGGAAAGAACTGATCATTCTTTTCAGAAAGAAAAGAGGAAAACATGCCCCCGTCTGCATCAACGGAGCGGAGGTCGAGAGCGCCAAGTTCCTAGGAGTGATGATAACTGACAGTCTATCCTGGACTTCACACGTAGATGTGCTGATCAAGAAGGCACAACAACACCTCTTCTTCCTCAGGCAGCTCAGGAAATTTGGCATGTCCATAAGAACCCTCACCAGGTGCACCATAGAAGGCATGCTGTCCAGAAGCATAACTGCCTGGTGTGGCAACTGTTCAGCCCAGGACCACAAGAAACTACAGAAGGTTGTATGCACAGTCCAGACCATCATGGAAGTCAACCTCCCATCCATGGACTCCATTTATATGTCTGATTGCAGCAGAAAAGCTGCCAACATCAATAAAGGCGTATCAATGGACTCCCTAACTTCAGATAATGCTGATCTTATTAATGTTGATCTTGCCTAGCACTGTCCTGTGCAGTGTAACTTACATGCCTTACTCTGTCAAAGTGTTTTTTTTTCCACCCTATGATCTGTCCTATAGTGCTTGTAAACAAAGCTTTTCATTGTAATTAGGTACATGTGACAATAAATCAAATCAAATCAAATGGGTAGACAAATTACAGCTGTGTTTTATTGCAGAAAATGAGAGAGTAATGGCTTTTGGTATGAAGACTGAGAGGCCATGTGTAGTTTTGATACAGTAAATGAGGGGAGCTATGATCAAAGGATCAGGATTGAGAGGGCGCAGATTTTGTAATTCACTAAAGAACCACGATAATGGGATGTAAAGTTCATCAAGCAAGTTCTTCCAAGAGTGGTTGGAGAAGATTCAGTTCCAAGGTTCATTTGGGAACTGGAGAAATATGTGACTGGAGAAAGAGCAGGGATATGGGATCAATTGAGTAGAGAGTGAGCAACCTCTTGTATCATCTTGATGCATTGGAACTGGCAATATCTCTGCGTTTTTCCACTCAGATTTTAATAATATGCAAGGAACCATGAAGTAATCCCAGTTACAATGGGACTTAATGGAACTCCAAATTGCTGTAGCTACTATGTTCTAAAATATGTACACAATACAAGTGTGTACAGGATTAC